CTTCTCAATGTAACGATTGCCAACACGTTTGTTGACAATAACACCGACGGCAGATTTCGTTACATTGTAAACAATTCCGGTACGACTTTGGTGAAGAAATTAAGAGGGATTTGTTGAATGAAAAGTTTTGTCGAAAAGAGATAGAACCCATTCAATGCAAAATAAAAAAAAAAAGCCTTCTTTCACTTTACCCATGGTAGAACTTGTGGGGCATACCCTTTTGAACGGCACCGTTGGCTTTAATGTCAACGATATCGCCGACCTTGTATGTTTTGAGGTAGGTTGAAAGTTTTATAGCTCCGTGCTCACGAAACTTACGAGCGAACATATAGCGCGTACGAGCGCGGATACCGTAAGAGTGCGGCATTTTTTATTCTGCATAATTTTCAAATGTGATTATTAGAAAACCGATCTGTTTCGCTACATAAAATCCATTAAAAATCTACCTTTGTTTGAACCATAGGAAAATTCAACCTACAACGTTTGTTCAGCGAAAAAGGAAGATTTGCGTTTCCAAGATTTTTGTTAAAATATTTTCTGTTTCCACATCTACGAGTTATGATTGGTTACCGTTGATGTCACAAAATATCTTTTTTTTGATGACACGTGAGCAAACATCACGTGTTGGTGAAAAAATCTTTCGCATAAAGTAAAAATTTTTTTAAAAAATTTGATCCTCCTCTTTCCACTACGGTTAATTTTTCTTTGATTCCATCGGAAAACCGTTCATAATGCCTGGTGCTGCAAGGAATTGTATTCTATGAAACTTTCCAAATGTTTTAATATAGTTGTTGAATAGGTTTATTTCGCTTCACGAAATAGGTGAGATTGTTTTTTTTGTACGGAGCGTTTCCTATTCTCTCATTACCCGAATTAATGGGGCGCGACGGGTCACAAGGAAAGAATGCAACCGAATTGTATCCTTTAATTTATCGTCAAAACAATACCGATTGAATTTGTGGAGTAATGATTTTTTACATTTAAAAAAATTTTTTTTGGAAAGTTTCAAGAAGAGAGATACAGCAATCTCTCTGGACACGAA